GGGAGGCAGTGTCCCCTAGTGGTTAGCTGAGCCCTGTACAGCTGAGACCTGGTACCTCAGAAGACCTCCTCTCTGCTGCCTTCTCCCTTGGCCTGCACGCCAAGTCTGCTCCGCGGTCCAGCTCCCCGTCCCAGGATCCCCTTTATCACTAGCTGCCCTAGCTCCAAATCATGGCCCTGCCCTTGTCACGGATAAACCCGCAAGTCCTGCAGATGAACACACCACTTTCAGGGAACCGTCAGGCTGAAGCCCTGAATGGACCAGCCTGGGTGTCCTCCCAAGAGGAAGAGCAAGACAAGTCATAAGCTCCAGTCCCCATGCAAACACCTGAGGTCACCTGCCAAGTAGTCTCAAGGTGGCCCTGCCCTTTTGCCCATCAGTTTCTCATTCCTGTCCTTCCTCTAGTTCACCCTCCTATCTTCCCTGGGACACACCCTCCCCAGATGCCTCCTCCACACAAGCCTTCCGGGTGGGTGGGGGCATGATTGGGGCCTGGCCCCACACTTGGCTACCAGCTAGCCCAGGGGTATTGGGTTTTGTTAGCATTACTGTTTTGAGACAGGCTCTCCCTGTGTAGTCCTGGCTGACCTTGAACTATGTAGCCCACACTGCCTGGAATTTTCTGAAATCCTCCTGACTCAGCCTCCCGAATGCTAGGATTACAGACATGTGCCATCATGCCCAGCTTCAGGACTGCCTTTTCTGTTTGTTTGTTTTTTAGAAGAGTCTCACTATGCAGCTCTGGCTACTCTGAAACTAGCTCTGCAAACCAGGTTGGCCTCCAGCTCACAGAGATCTCCCTGCCTCTGCCTCCTGAGTGCTGGGACAAGGCTCCTTTTGTTCTGGACTCTTGTCCAGGATATGCCTGGCTAGTCTCAATTCTCATGAATGAATGAATGAATTAATTAATTAATTAATGAGTGAGTGAGCTGGAAGGAAGGGAATAAGAACTGAGGAACGTAGGTGTCTTAGTCTCAACCTCCCTTCCCCGGGACATCTCTGAAGTCGTCTCCCCATGCTCACCACCTCAGCCTCTGAGGAGTGAGGACACAGCACACACAAACCCCACAGCCAGGGCTGTGGTGAATCCAGCAAATATATTCCACAAAGCAAGTGGGAGCCCCAGAACCCTGACATCATCTTGAGAGTGACGAACCCTGGGGAGCAGCCAGGCTCTGGGGGCCACGGGCAAGAGGCAGTAAACAGAATCTACCTGGCACACGGGCAAACACAGGCCTGCACAGGGACAGCCATTCAGGACCCTCTGCAGGCCAGCTGCTGCCAAGGAACACCAGGCTAGCGAGGGGTAGCAGGATGGTGGAGGTGCTGTCCTCTCCTTTGTCCACCCCGACCAACCAGTCTGCCGCTCCTAAGCCCTGGACACCACAGGCTGACCTCACTCTATAGCAACTGTCAGAATGCAGCTGCCCAGGCCCAGGACAGAGTCAGAACTGACAAGATAATCTGGGTTCTAGGGAAGGTATGCCCGGGCACAGACACAGACTGCCAGGCCTCAAGAGTAACACCCAAGGCTGAGGCTCATACTAACCACACTCCAGAGCCCTGTGCTCTCTCTGCTGGAAGGCTAAGGTTAGCAAAATTTCCCTAGCGTCCGGGTAAGCCCTAGGACCCTCATCCATGCCTACACCCTCACATATCACACAGCTCATGAGGGTCCTGAACTTGAAACCCCTCCTGCTGCTCTTGGACCATCGCACTGTTACTTGGACTATGAGGTACTGGTGGAGAAAGCCCCCGCCAGCGAGGGACACTGGTGACTGTGAGAGGGGATTCCTGCCTGCTTCCCCAAGGCCTAAAGAAGCCGGGTGTAAGTACAGGCCCACAGCAAAGGAAGGAGTGGACTACAGGGGATCCATGTTACCAGGCATGAACTCTGCTGGAGGCCTGCAAATTTTACCTCATGGTGGGTGCCCCAAAATAGGCTCTGTCACTGTCACACTTCTAGGATGAGGGAACCCAGGCCTACAAAGGTCAGTCTTGCTGAAGGCCAGCTGGCTAGACAATGGAGTCCTCCCCAGGAACCACCAAGGTCCTTAGGACCCTGAGCCAGCATCCCAGTGTTCCAGGAACATAATCAACTGGTATGACAAGATGCTTGATGTCATTTCCAGATCCTGGGATGAGCCAGCCCAGAAGGACACCTCCTGGCACAGCCCCTGGCAAGTCCTATCTCCAATATCAGGCCACTTTGCAGTCCTGACTAAGGTGCTAAGATTCAGCTAGGAAGGGGTGGCCAACAGGTCACCAAACCCTAAGGGGCATTCAGCGAAGCCCCTGCCCAGCTCTCTGCCACTGTTGCCACCTGCCTGCACAGAAGGTGGCTACGCCCAGCTATCCCTAGAGGCCTGGCCATCACCATTCCCCTGCACCAAAGCGGCTACCTTTGTTTTGTTATTTTCAAGACAGTGTTTCTCTGTGTAGCCCTGGCTGTCCTGGAACTCACTCAGTAGACCAGGCTGGCCTGGAACTCACAGATCCGCCTGCCTCTGCCTCCCGAGTGCTGGGATTAAAGGTGTGCACTGCCGTGCCTGTCTAAGCATCTACTTCATGTCAGCCACTGCACTGGGCCTCTGCAGGCAGGCAGCCAGCTCAAGGCCTGCTTCTCTATCTCTCAGACACCTGAGGAGTCAGGTCCATGGAGGCCTCCAGTTCACCTCACTACCTGTACACTGACATCACTTTCCCTGTCCTTTTAGTGTGTTTCCCCACACTCACACACACACACACTCATTCTCAGCATCATGGTGCCCATCCCTCCTCACAGGTCATGGCCAGGCCCTCCTTGACAGGCAGGTTCCCAGAAGGGAGGCTGCAGACCTGGGCATATACAGCAAGTAGCACAGGCTGGACCACTAGATTTCAGTCTACATAGAGCTGAGTCTCCAGGCCAAAACCTGCCTGTAAAACTTGGGACTCAGGTGAAATGATGAAGAGGCAGTCCTCCTGCCTCTACATCCTCCTTTTAAACAACCCGAGTGACTCTCCCAGGGGCTTCCCGGGGACTCTGAGGGAGACACAGTGTCTAAGGACCACCAGGCAGCTGGAGGAATCTGGCCCCTTAACCTTCTGATATCTCTACAGATACCTACTCTGCCCTTACAGACCCCTGCGCCCAAGAGCAGGGCCATTAAAGACTTGTAAAGTAGTCCCTGTCCTCCAATCAAGGCCCAGGAAGTAGTTATAGCAGGTCATTTACAACAGGAATGAAAAGTTGAGGCACAGGTAGAAGGATTTGCGACCAAGGTGTTGCAGAGTGTGGATGCACGGACCCCGGCGACTACATGGACTAAGCCTAGGTGAGCTCGGGCTGGCTGTCCTCTTCGTGTGGGCTGCAGAGGCTAGCCTGCCTGGCTTCCACTCTGCTGGGGATGTTCTGTCTGTATCTTTCTGAGAAGCGAGGTGGCATGTGCATATCTACTTTCTCCACTCCCTACCTCCCCCCCCACACACACACACTCACTCCCTACCCCCCCTACACACACACACTCCAAAAGCAAGCCTGCCTCACCTCCCTCCTGGTCTGCAGCCCCTTCAACCTCAGCTCCGGCCCCTCAGACCTCCCAGGGACCCTCTCAGCCAATCCAGCTAGGCAGCATCTCATCCCAGGCACTGGTCCTGGCAGCCTGGGCCATTTCCATTTTAAACCTTCAGAGGAAGCCCTGAGCAGTCGCCCACGGCCGGCACCAGCTGACAGGTGATGTTTGTGCCTCTCCTCCTGGGGCTGGCAGGAAGACACGCAGTTGGCTTTCAACTCCAGAAACCTGAGCCTGGAGCCCCTCTGTGCAGCCGCCTTCCTCGGCGCTGGCAGGAAGGGGAGCCCCAGCCCACATCCCTCTGCCAGGAGCGTCAGAGGTCCTGGACCCTGCCTTGCCCACACTCCCTCTCCTACCCAGACAGCCTCCCCCAACAACTAAGCTACCTAGGGGTGGGAAAGGGTGGGGCTGGTCTTCATCCTCCAAAGGAAGCAAGGGTGGAGATGAGGCAAGGCTGAACCTTGTCACCCCTCACCTCTGTTCCGGTGCCTTGGCTTTATTTATTCACATCAGACCTCTCACTTGGGCCTCCGGGGCCTGGCATACCCCAGCTGAGCTGTGTTCGCTTTTAACCACACGCCCGGGAGGGCCTGGAAGCCCTCCCGGGGCCCCAGGAAGCCTGGGGCAGCTCCCCGATGTCGCCGCTGCTTCACAACTTTGTCCTCCTCAGAGAGCTCTGATCTACCACGGCTCCCTGCAGCTGGGCAACAACGCTCCCCAGCCTTCCGCCCCTGGGCCTCGGATCCCCACGAGGAGGGGCGTGCTCGCGGTCTGTTGCCTCCTTGTCTAGGGAGCTTGGGGGTGGGGGACCCTGCGTGCGCCCCCAGCCCGTCAGTCCCTCCGTTCCACCTTTGCAGCCGCCAGGTGCACAGTCTCAGCCCCCGCCGGCATCAGGCTGCCAGTCCCCAGCGCGCGCAGGGAGGGAAGTTGGAGGCTGCCTATGCCCCCCTTGAAGTCGTTTTAAAAATAAAACCTCGCTCTAACCGTGACTCACGCGGCTAGTGGGGACAGGAACGCGGCGCCGGGGCCGGCCGGCTGCCCTCGCCGCACGCGCCCCTCACCCTCCTTTTCCCGGGTGCGGGGCAGGAGCTGGGACTGACCTGCTCAGCCCCGCGCCCCCCGCGGGCCCGGCCGCCATCCCCCCTCCCCGGGCGCAGCCACGGCTCAGCTCTGGGCTGCAAGCGAGCCCCCGCCCTTTCCAGCCTCCGCTCCCGGGAGCGGAGCCGCGGACCGCGAACCCCGCGCCTCCCCGCGGTGGGGCCAGCACCACCCGCGCTGGGCTGTCGACTCCCGACCCCCCTGCACCCCGAATCCCAAAGGCTGCACGTCTCCCGCCACACCGGACCGACTCGGGCGGCGCGATCCGGCCCGATGCGTGCAGCGCGGCCCCCCGCCCCGCGCGCCCCAGCGCCCGTCCCGACCCCCGGCCCGCGCAGCTTCCCTTACCTGCGCAGCGGCCGGGGAGGCGGGTCTCCTCGGGAAACTTTGCGGCGGCGACTAGAGCCTCAGGGGTTATTCCAAGAAGCGGGCGGGAGCCCCAGTCGGAGGGCACCCAGGGGGGCCTGGGAGAGGAGCCCCCGGTGCGCGACGGAGCTCTGTGGCGGGCCCGGGGCGCGGGGCGCGCGGCGGCGCATCTGCCCGGCGAAGCGGCGGGAGGAGTGCGCGGGGTGGCGCCCGGCGGCGGGGTGCGTGTACACGGGCGGGTGCGCTCGGCAGGGTGAGGGCAGCGGCAGCGGCGGCGGCGGCGAGCAGGGCGCAGGGAGGCAGGCAGGCTGTGCGGCTGCCTCTCCCCTCGCGGCGGCGGCGGCGGCGGCGGGGCTGTGCGTGCAGCGCGGAGCGGGGAGGGCGGGAGCGGAGAGGGAGGCGGCGGGCGGGGAGGAGGCGGCGGGGGCGGGGGCGCCGCGCTGCGCACTGGCCGGCGGGACCCGGCGCGGGAGGCTGCGCCGCCGCGCGGGGATTCTGGCCCAACCCGGGAGAAACGGCCTCCGCGCGTTCCCCTCCTCCTAGACTCCGCTAAAATGTCTGGGGTGGGGGGCGGGGGAAGACGAGTTGGGGAGCTGATCCCCCCGTGGGTTAGGGGGAGGGAAGCTCCAAACACCAATCTCCAAGGCCGGAGGAAAGGTGGCGAGAAAAAGGGGTTCTGGTTCAGGTACCTCCTCCCCCTACATCGATCCTCTCGGCACCCACTCATTCATCTATCCATATTCATTCATTCTTCCGTCCACTCGAGCATTCATTCACAAACAGAACCCACAGCCTACTCTGCGAGCTCAGGTAACCCCATTCCTCCTGCCAGGTGCCCCTCCGGGCTCAGACCCCTGCTTGCGTGTAGCCCCGCACAGGCCCTCTCTAAGCCCTTCGCTTTTCTCTGAGCAGGAAGGACCCCACCCTGATATGTAGGCGGGCTAGAGTGGGTCAAATGCCAGCCTCCCTCTTCCCCTCCCCAAAGGCTAACCTTTGGACAACTTGGGTAACCTCTCTAAACCCGAGTATAAAAAGGGAGCATCAGCCACGGGACTTCTGGAGGGTTGAGGAGACCAGCAAGGGTAAGGTGGTTGAGGGCTGAACTGACACACCTTACGATCTCAGAGAAAGTTGTGGGTGCCCTGGGGCCCAAGAGGTGGATGGACCAGATGTTTAGCAAGAACACCCAGATGTAGCAATGGGAACACTAACATCTCTCACTGCCTAGCCTCACCTTGTGACAGACTTGGGTGGTCCTTTCAGACTTAGTTTCCTCTTTGGTGCTAGCTACTCTGAATGAGTCCCTAACTCTGCTTAGACCACGTGTGAGTTTCCCCACAGCTCCCAGACCCATCCCTAGGCCTCCATTATCTGTCTGGGGCTCCTCCCAGCAGACCCACTCCAACGTCTTCGACCCCACCATCCCAACTCTAGAACCTTCCACAAGTCCAGCCCAGCCTGCACTATGTTACCTTTCAAGGCCAACCATCCCTTGGGATACCCACCGTCACCCCTGAGGGAGGGTTTGCTGCCTGCCTCCTTGCTCTCCTCAGGGCTGCCACCTCTGACCCCTCCCCCCATGCCGTTTGCCCTTCCCACCCCTCTTCACCTCACAGCCCCCTTTCTCCTTCCCTGGGTTTGCACTCAATTCACTGAGCAGCTATTTTTTTCCTCCCAATTTTTATTTATCGCTCAAACAGCATTATACCAACAATAAAGGAAGGAAAAGAAATCACCCACAATGCCACCTCCCTGTGGCGTCAGCAACCTCCCTCCTCTGCTGCCTTCCAGGCTTGTCCAGGCACAAAGCTGGCTATAATTTTCACAGAACTGTGGTTTCCGTTCCGCCTCCCCAGACCCCCAGATGGACTCGAGGGCCCCAGGGCTCCATCATGTCACTTAGCATGTGGCTCAGGAACTCTGTATGTGTGTCTCCCTCTTCTCCTAAACCAAACCCCCCTTTACCTCCCTGCCAGCCAATCCAGGCACCTTGGCCTTGTACCTGGGTGGAGAGTTCGGATGGACCTGGACTTGACACATCACACTTGGCTATCAAAACATCACCATCATATTTGTGGCTTTAACAGGTGATGTTCCTCCCAGCTGATGGGCTATGACTCGCTTAGCAATATCTCCTGCACAACAATTCAAGGACTGTTGGGGGAAGCCCACTATGCTGGGTACTACCTTATGAACCAGGTTTCACTAAATGAAAACCTGAGATTCTAGAAAGACTGCCCAGCACATAGTCCTCGCTGAGCAAGAGCTGTCTGTAACAGGCTTCTCCACACGACCCCAGAGACGAGGGCCAAGTCATCTGGAACACCAGATGGCTTCCTAGGGGCAGTGGTTGTTGTCCTAGGTTTTGGGGTTTCAGATCAGGTGCAGCTGGAGCCCATCACAGCCATGAATGCCATAATGGGGGTGCTTGGGTGCCACTGAGCAAGAGCTCTTGGCTGGAGCCGGGGGTCAGAGTCAGAGAGAGGGTCTGTGACGAAGAGGTTCATGATGGCAGCCAAGCCTGGTGTGCAGGGTCTGGGATATATGGACTTTGTGGGAACTTCACTTTGAAAGGCATCAACCAGAGTCTGGAACTCCAGGGTAGTAAGACAGTCTGCTGAGATCAGGAACTACAGTTTGTTCAGTCAACAAATGCTGGCTGAACCACTGCATTCTTTAAGCCACATGAGAACACAGGACAATGGCAACAGAGTCCGTCCTATGCGCTGGGCCCTGGTGGGAGGCTCTCAGCAATGAGGGCAGCGCAAGTCACCCGATAACACTTTGTGGCTTCAACCTTGAGCTCGCCAAGCCCCAGCTCCTCCACTCTGAGGGAGGCAATATCCAGAACAATGTCCTGCAGCTTAGAGTGGGCACTCCCACTGGGCAGCAAGGTCAGCCTGGCCCTGCCTGCAGCCTCCCCCCGCCAGCCACCACCTACCCACTCGGGTGTGTGGCTTCTGTTTGCCACCTGATTGTTCTATAGTCAGTGCCCCTCGGCACTGTCCCTTCCTTCCAGTTATACCTCCCGTTTCTTAAGGAGCCATCACAGACTTCCTATGACTGATGTGACGGTCTGGGAAGATCCTGGAATGCCTTCTGTATTATGAATTGTGGAGATAACTGGACTTGGCAGTATTGGACTATTGTCAGCCAAAGCTGGGCCAGTCTTAGCCTCATGTAGGCCTGCTCTGGGTGGGGAAGGATAGGATCTTCCCCAGTGTGCATTTCACCCAGCATCACTAGGGACCATCACTCTGGGGATTCCAGACTCGTGACCTCTCTGAACTCCAGTAATGCCCAGGGCATCCTGGGACATTTGCATGGATTTGTGAGTGAATGGACTGTGGGTGGCATAGCTGTGTACTCTGCTTCAGGAACGCCTGGCTGGCACACCAGCCTCACCTTAGCGCATAGCTTCCGGTCCACATCCCAGCTCCGCAGGGCTTGCTCCTCCTCTGCCATTCTACATGGAGACAGAGGGTGAGGCTTCTCACACACGGCCAGGCAGGGGCCTAAGGGTAGCACGTGCATCTCAGATCAGTGTCTCAGAAAGCAAGCCCTCCAGCCTAAGGTAAAGCCCTAGAGAGAGAGATCCAGGAGCAGCCAGAGAAGGGGCAAAGCTCGGTGGGCTGAGGCAAGCAACTCCCAAAGAGAGGGACTGAAGGCAAGGGGACAGCTGCTGACCAGGATCTATCTACTGAGCTGGCTCCAGTGCGGGCCTGTCTGAGCCACCCTATCCCCTGAGACAAGGACCCCACTTCTATTCTCTCTCTTCCCTGGCTCACCTGCAGACCAGAGCCTGGCTGTCCTGTCCCCTGAGTTGGCACCCCCTTTCTCCTTCCTTGTTGGGCTATAAGTGAACGCCATGGCCTGGGCAATTTATGAAGAGAAAGGGTTACTCAATGCAAGGTCCTGGATGGATCCTGGTCAAGGGGCCACATCTGGTGTAGGTCTCCTTACTTATAATTCTACAGCGTCCCCATGGTATCCTGTGGCAAAATAGAGCAAGGAGCCAGTATATATCTCTCTTCTTCCTTTGTTTATGTTGTTTTGTTTTTGAGACAGAGCCTCCTGAAGCCCTGGCTGGCCTCAAACTAGCTATATGGTCAAGGATAACCTCGAGCCCCTTTACCTCCCTTACTACACCTGGCTGTTTCTCTCTTCTTAAAAGGCCACTAATGGCTCCAGGCAGTGATAGTACATGCTTTTAATCCCAGCATTTTTGGGAGGCAGAGGCAGACAGATCTCTGAGTTCAAGGTCAGCCTGGGCTTTACAGAGAAACTCTGTCTTGAAAAGCCAAAATATAAATAAAAAATAAAAACTATTAATGTTGGGGTTGGGGTATAGCTCAGTGGTAGAGCACTGGCCTAGCATGTCCAAAAACTTGGGTTCCATCCTGAACTCCCTGCAGAAAGGAGGAGAGACACTAATCCCATCATAAGTGTTCCAGACATCCTCTAATACTAATTATAGCCCAGAAACCAGTACCTCTTACAGATTAAGATTTGTAGTTTTTCTCATCCAGGGCCCTGTGGGTGCTAGGCCAGCACCCTACCACAGAGTTATAGTTAAACCACGCCCTTGGTTTGGTTTTAAGATCAAACTAAGGGGACTGGAGAATGGCTCAGTAGTCAAGAGCACTGGCTGCTCTTCTGGAGGACCTGGGTTTCCAGCACCCACATGGCAGCTCACAACTGTAATTCCAGTTCTGGGTGATCTGACTCCTTCACACCAATGCACATAAATTAAGTTCAAACTAAGGCTGGCCTTGAACTTCTGGTATTCCTGTCTCCATCTCCTGACCACTGAGATTGCAGGTATGTCACTCATGTCATTTATGGGGTGCAGGGGGTGGAACCCAGGGCTTCTGTCATACCAGGGAAGCCCTCTGCCAACCACATCCTGAGTCCCTCCACGAAGTCTTAGAGGAAAAGTACTACAGCAGCGGTGCTTTTACTTATTATATGTGTGTGGGTTTGGGGCAGCGGGGGTCAGAGGACAACTTCTAAGAGTCAGTTCTCTCCTTCCGCCTGCGGGCTCCAGGGCTGAACTCAGGGTGGCAAGTTTAGCGGCACGTGCCCTTACCCACTGAGCCATCCTGCCGGCTCCAGCAGTCTATTTTTTTTTTTTTTTTGGTTTTTTTTTCGAGACAGGGTTTCTCTGTGTTGTTTCGGAGGCTATCGGTCCAGCCGGGCCTCGAACTCACAGAGATCCGCCTGCCTCTGCCTCCCGAGTGCTGGGATTAAAGGCATGCGCCACCACCGCCCGGCCCAGCAGT